TCCCAATAACAAATAAGTCATAAGCTACCCTCTTCCCCTTTGTAAAATTCCACTCTGCAATGTGGCCTTTCCACCAAGAACTTGTAAAACAGTGAGGACAGGGACCAATGCCTCCGGAGCTTTGTGTGTAATCCGCTTATTTCTTTTCTCACCTCCTCCTCTCTTTTCTTCTAGCAGTAATTTAAAGAGAGAGGAGCAAGGTACACTCAAGGGACAGAAGCTGAGTTAATTTTGTGTAGTCTTTTCCAGGGACAGGTAGCTAAAAGCCAAGGATTGTTCTTTTCTGTATTGCTTCAAGGATGCCAAAACTTTAGACATTGTAACAAAGTGTCATCTAGAATGTGTTGGGCCACATTCATAGGTGTACTGGAACACATGAGTTCTGTGAGCCATAGGTTGGACATGTCTGGTTTATAGCATTTATAACTATATGAACATTTAAGTGATACTTTCTCTACTTGTAGTATTAGGGAGATATTGACATAAAAATCAGGTGAAAATATGATTGTATAACAAACTAAAATAACCGTGTCAGACAATAATTATGTCAGACATATACAGGCATATTAGTCATAGTACCCAGGTCAAGGTTGGAGTCAGCTTTCAAACCAGAAGGGAAGTCTCTGTTGACTCACGGGTAAAGGCAGATTTAGAGTAGGATTTAGGGTTAGACCAGATCTGCCTCTAAGAAGTCAGAGCACAGCAGAGCATGGCGGCCCAGCCCACGACAGGAGCTGACTAGCCTCTGCTTTGGTAGTTTGTTTGTTTTTTTTTTTTTCCTTCATTTTAGAGTTTAGAGATTTGTTTGTTTTGGGTCAGGGTTTTGCTGTATAACCCAGGATAGCCTCAAATTCTCAATTCTCCTGTCTTACCTTTCACACACTGCAAGTGTAGTCATGGACCACATACATGGCCCTCTCTCTTGCTTTTTAAAAATCTTTATTTGTGTAGAAAGACACTGGCAGATTTTTCTCTAATTTCAGGTCAGGCTAGCTTCTTTGGATATGTGTGACTGGTGACAAAGCAGTTACTGACTTTTTTCAGTTAGCAGTGCTCACCATGCACTCTAAATTTGGCCTGGGAAAGACACAAAGAATTTATGAGACAAAAGCAAAGAGGTGTGAGGTATGACTGTAGTCCTTGGTGCCAGAATATAGTCTAGTTGTAGAAACATGGCTTAAACATGTAGATAATGTAAGAGAGAAACCACTTGTCAAATGTGGTGGCTCATATCCTAACTAACACTGGGGAGGATGGAGGCAGGAGGATCAGAAGTTCATGGTCATCCTTGGCTACATAGTGCGTTTGAGGGCAGCCTGACCTCTATGCGACCTTGTCTCAGCTCTAAACTGGAGAAGCAGTGACTTTGTTCCAGAAGGCATATGTGCTGGAGAGTGAAAGAAGCAAGTACAGAGCAGTCTCTTCTAGGAAGATGAGTGGGACCAGTTCAGATTTGAGACTTCTGGGAAACCAGTGCTTGAAGATGCAGCTAGCAGGAATTTGGGACCAAGATGTATACTGTCTCTTCAACTTTATCTTCTGGAAACTAAGGCATCACCAAAAGCTTTTGGACAGAGGAACAATGCTCAGAGGTTTCTGAAGTAAGACAGATCTGGTGGCCAGATGCAGGCACATTAAAGATCATTCAGGTAGATCAGGTTCCTATATTTACTTTAGTGTTACTTTTGAAAAGTAATAATTTCAGCTGGGTGGTGGTGGTGCACACCTTTAATCCCTGCACTTGGGAGGCAGAGGCAGGTGGATATTTGTGAGTTTAAGGACAGCCTGGTCTACAAAGCAGTTCCAGGACAACTAGCGCTACACAGAGAAACCTTGTCTTGGAGGGGAAAAAAAAGAAAGAAAGAAAAGTAATAATTTCAAATTGGGAGTGGCAAAAAGAACAGGATTAAAGAATTGGATACAAGAGACATTTTGCCTTATAGGGCTATTTAAATACTTTTAATTTAAAAAAAAAAGACATTTTAAAGGAAGGAGAAATCTATCAATACTGAGTGTATCTTTTGCCTGTTGAAGTAATGCAGACTCATCAAGATAAATCCACAGTTTGGGAACCAAGCAACTAGATAAATACTTTACTAACAGAAAAGGAATTGTTAGAATGGAGGATTAGATGATTATGTTTTGGGGAAAACACAAGGAGTTCAGCTTTGAAGATCATCTTTGATGTAGCAGGAGACAGAAATTTACTGGTGGAACATTCAAGTGAGAACTTGGTACATGGTAACCATATGGAAGCTGCCTTCATAGAGATGACTGCTTAAACTGTCTGAATGAATGATACCTTTCAAAGGAGACAGACTACTGGAAGCACCAGCATTTTAAAGGAGGGAGAAGAGAAACTGCCTTAACCCTGTGTACTTAACCATGGGGAGGAGGAAGACAGTTAGGGATTCACATTAGTGTAGATAAGAGCATCAAGAAGGAAGTGGTCGTCAGGTCAGATACTGCAGGGAGGTGAAGGAGAATAGGGGTTGAAAGGGCCATTGGATTAGGCAATTAGGAAGTTATTTACCTTATGGTATTTGGATATGCTGGGGGAGAGGATTAGGAGTGAGCATTGAAGAAAAGAGTACAGCAAGCATCGATTTGCAGGTAAGAAGGAATGAGTGAAGAGGGGGCTATGACTGCTACTCCTGCCTTTTACATTGGAACTTTGTGCATTCATACACACTTGAAGGCAGAAGGGAGGAGTTAGGTCAGTGATTCATTTGGACAACCTTATTCAGTACTAGCTAAAGACTTCTGTCCAATAAACAGAGAGAATCAATAGCTTCAAGGAAAAAGAACAGCAAAAACAGGATTCTAGAGAAAAATGGGAGAATATAGATTAGGAGACTAGCAGAACTTGAGACTGACCTTGGGATTCTGGACAAAATAGAAGGTGGGGATCTGCTGAAGAGAGAGAGGGTCAGGGGACAAGTGATGGGGTTAAGAGGAAGATGTTAAATAATCACTCTAATTAGTGCTGGGGGTTCGGAGAGCAGCTGAAGCTAGATAGTTAAGTATCAGTGGAGTTTGACAGACTCTCCACTTTCTAACTGCTTTTGTAAGAAATGGTAGTGAGGCTGGGGAGATGACTCATTCAGAAAGACACATAAGCATGAGGATCTGGGTTCCATCCTTAGCATTCACCTAAAAAGCCAAGAATCTGTAACCCAAATACTGGGGAGGTGGAGACAGGAAGATCTCTTGGGATTTGCTGGCCAGCCAGTCTAGTTGAATTAGTGAGCTATGGATCCATAGAAACTTGTCTCCAAAAATATGGTGATTGAGGAAGACACCCATTATGAAACCTGTGGTCTCTATACACATATACATGCATACTCAGATATATGTATGCACATGAACACACAAACACACATATACACATACGTGAAATGGTTATCAGAGTAGCTTAGAAGGTAATTGGTGTTTGTTTCTTCTTGTACCTTTAAGGGTTTTTCCTTTCTCATTATTGTGTTTTTTCATATATATATCCAATATCACCACAATTATAAATTATATAGCTACTGCAGAAAGGTCTTAAATAGTTTCAAGATTATCTAGGTTGCAGATATGTCAGTATGAAATCATAGTTCTTTCTCTCAACTTCCACTGTGTGTGGAAGGTAAACATCTGTGCCTCTTTTAATCACAGTCCACATATTTTTGAGATGAGGACTCTTAGTGAATCTGAATCTGGAGCTCACCAATTAGGTTTGACTGACTGGCCAATAAACCCCAAGAATACACCCATCTCTGCCTCCCCAGTGCTAGGTGGGCAAAGTTGCACCCAATTTCTCTCTCTCTCTCTCTCTCTCTCTCTCTCTCTCTCTCTCCCTCCCTCCCTCCCTCCCCCTCGCCTTTTGTGTGTGTTTGTCTGTCTGTCTGTCTCTGTCAATGCTACAAATCATGTAATCATGTTCAGTCCTTTATGCCTGCATTGTGAGCACTTTATCCTGAATGAGCCACGTCCCCAGTATCTGAAATCTGAGGACTTTCTAGAGAAATTTGTTATGTCTAGATTGATAAAGTAGGTGAGCAAGAAGTCCTTGAATGGTGCTACTTGGCCCTGTCTGAAAAGTGATGCATGTTTTAAGCCAGTTAAACACCAAATCATCCATATAAAACTCTTCTGAATTCAAGATGACTAGGATTCCAGGTGGTAGGTAGTATGTCTCATCCAGAACACAGACGATCATGAGAGGCCCCTGAGATGGGGTTTTGTGGGAACATGTTTCTTAGAAGTGATAAACCTGGTTTTTAGGTTCTATTGAGAAGGGTAAGCTGACTCTATGGAGGAGCTAAGTATGTAATACCTGGGTACTTGATACAGTCTTCAGATTTAGCAAGATGCAACTTGAATAGGAATGAGGAAGTGGTTTCTGTTACAAGTATAGTTACACGAAATAAATGATGGAAGAAATAAATGATGGACCAAGTCCCAGTTCTGTATCTGATTCTTGACTTGATTACTGAGTCTCCTAAGATTGGTAGGTCTAATGACAGAGCATGGGAACCGTTAGTCTCACCAACAAGGAGACCAGCATGTGCTTCTGAGTGGAATCGATTTGCTTTCTCAAGCTGCTGCATTTTAAAATCATTATGCGTGCAAGAAATGTTTAGAGGCCAGAAGACAATACTAGGTGTTAGCCCTTCCCTTTGGCCTTGCTTGAGAGATGCTCTCTTGCTGTCCATTGCTGCATATCGCATATTAACTAGCCCATGAGCTTTTGGAAACTTTCATGTCTATGTCGCCCATCTTGCTGTGGGAGCTTTGGTATCACATGTGCATGTGACTGTGCAGCTTTTATGGGTTCTGGGGACCTGAATTCAAGTGTTTATACTTCACAGCAGTACTTTACCCACGAATCTGTCTCTCCAGTCCTCAAGATTCTTTTAAAGTGGAAGAGCAATCTGATCAGAGTTTAAATGAATCAATGGAGTTTATTCATGGAGGAGTAACTCAAATATTTACTTTTCCTTTTTCTTTCCTCATAGGTATGGCCTCACATGTGCAAGTTTTCTCCCCTCACACCCTTCAATCAAGTGCCTTCTGTAGTGTGAAGAAACTGAAAGTAGAGCCAAGTTCCAACTGGGACATGACTGGGTACGGCTCCCATAGCAAAGCGTACAGCCAGAGCAAGAACATACCACCTTCTCAGCCAGCCTCCACAACCGTCAGCACCTCCTTGCCAATCCCAAACCCAAGCCTACCTTACGAGCAGACCATCATCTTCCCAGGAAGTACTGGACACATAGTTGTAACATCAGCAAGTAGCACTTCTGTCACCGGGCAAGTCCTCGGCGGACCACATAACCTAATGCGTCGAAGCACTGTGAGCCTCCTTGACACCTACCAAAAATGTGGACTCAAGCGAAAGAGTGAGGAGATTGAGAACACAAGCAGCGTGCAGATCATTGAAGAGCATCCACCCATGATTCAGAATAATGCCAGCGGGGCCACTGTAGCTACTGCCACCACATCCACTGCCACCTCCAAAAACAGTGGCTCCAACAGCGAAGGCGACTACCAGCTGGTGCAGCATGAGGTGCTGTGCTCCATGACCAATACCTATGAGGTGTTGGAGTTTTTGGGCAGGGGGACATTTGGGCAAGTGGTCAAGTGCTGGAAACGGGGCACCAATGAAATTGTGGCCATTAAGATCTTAAAGAACCACCCTTCCTATGCCCGGCAGGGTCAGATTGAAGTGAGCATCCTAGCCCGGCTGAGCACAGAGAGCGCAGATGACTACAACTTTGTGCGGGCCTATGAGTGCTTCCAGCACAAGAATCACACCTGCTTAGTCTTCGAGATGTTGGAGCAGAACCTCTATGACTTTCTGAAACAGAACAAGTTTAGCCCCTTGCCCCTCAAGTACATTCGCCCAGTCCTCCAGCAGGTAGCTACAGCCCTGATGAAACTCAAAAGCCTGGGTCTTATCCATGCTGACCTCAAACCAGAAAACATCATGCTGGTAGATCCATCTAGACAGCCATACCGAGTGAAGGTCATTGACTTTGGTTCAGCAAGTCACGTCTCCAAAGCCGTCTGCTCTACCTACTTGCAATCCAGATACTACAGGTAAAACTTTCTCCATGGAAATAGTCATAGGGCACGTGAGGCCCAGGGGCATCCACAGGGATGGCAGAGTTACAAACATAGCTAGTGGTTGCTACCAGAACGAGATCTTAATCTGGAGGCTGGAGAGATGGCTCAGTGGTGGTTAAGAGCACTTGCTGCTCACACAGAAGACTTCAGTGTGGTTCCCAGTTCCCACATATCAGATCACAGCTATTAATAAATCTAGTTCCAAGGGATCCCATAACCCTCTTATGGACTCCAGACCTACACATGGTATACATACATACATACATACATTCACTGTTATGCATAAAAAGAAATAAATCTTTTTAAAAACAAAAAGAGAGACCTTAATGTAATTGGAAAATTAGAATACATGCAGATAGGAGTGACAGTGAGAAGCCAAATAAGAAGGTAACATTATTGGTCTGCTATTGTGAGATGGAAAGGATTTTGGGAGCTGGGTGAAGAGTGGAGAAGTCAGGTTCTTCTGGAGTGAACCCAGATAGCTAGAACTGGAAGGGATGTGCCAATAACAGGTACAGGGTAGCAAAATGTAAGCTCATTTAGGAGATGAGGAGAACTGCCTGGCCAGACCAGAGGATTTGTGAATAGTACCTGGAACAAGTCCTGGAAACTTTGAACAAGCAGGGGTTTGTGGCGGATGGTGTGGGAGAGTGTAACAGGTTGACAGCAGTGTTTGAGAAGACTGTTACGTCCTGTGGGAAGGCTGGAGGAAGGCAGAATCTTTGCCCTGGGGCCAGTTGTTCCCTCCCAAGATAAGTTTGTGTCCGGAAACATTATCTACCCCTGCCACCCTGAGGCCACTTTTTTTTTTTTTAATTCTAAGGAAATACACAAGGCTGGGTAATTTTATAAAGAAAAGAGGTTTATTTAGCTCAAGTTCTGAAAGTTCAAGGTCATGATGCTTGAACGTCATAAGGTCAACAACGTTATGATAGATGGCCTGCAATAGTGAGGGCATGCATAGGAATAAGAGATCACATGATTAGATAGGAAAAAAAATATAATGGTTCAGGGTCAGGGGTTTCTAACCTTACTTTCTTCCAAGGACAGCACTGGTAATGAACTTCCACTAGGCCTTACCACCTCTCAGCATCACTACACTGAGGACCATTTTTTTAAACTGATGAGCTTGGTGGGGGGCAGACAACAAAGTATACTCTAGCAAGAAAACTTGCATATTCAGACATCACACAAGTGTTTATCTCATTTCTAATATGGGTCTTGCAAAATGCTAGCTAGCTCCAAGGATGCAAACAAGACCCTGGCCATCCAGGAGTCTCCAGCATGCTTCAGGCTTTGACATTAGTAGAATCCAAAACTGGGCTGTGTGATTTGTGCTCACTGCCTAACCTATGAGCTGGAAGCTGTTTTTTTTTTTTTTTTTTTTTTTTTTTTTATACCAGTCCCAGGGTGCTGTGATACAGCCTAGTGCTATGTGCAGTGGCCGGTCTGTGGGAGACACAGCATCAGGAGGTGATGGAAATGGAAAGCGAGGCTTCAGGTTGTAGAATGGCAAAGAGCTGTGTTGGAAGTAGTAGTGACCAGTCCCACAGAGGCGGAAATTGGCGAGAAAAGAAACTCAAAACTCCCATGAGAAAGTAGGCCAACCCACACCCAAGAGGTTGACTTATGCCAGTAATAGGAAAATCTCAGGACTTCTTGCCTCATGAAACCTCCTGTCCCATGCCCTGATGGTGGATGTGCTCTTTACACCTTCTTCAAGGGTCCAGAAGAAAGACTGGACAGACGAGCTACGTCACCACTGCTGGCCTGGGACCACCAGTCCCTGTCTATTGGGCCTCCCGTCTGACTTGCTCCTCTCTGGGCCTCGTCACTGCTTGCAGCACGGTTGCATCTCTCTCCCCCACCCTCAGCCTTCAGTCATAAGAATGGGTTGCAAGTCTTCTCCATTCCTCTTAAGAGGGATTCCTACTTGCCTAGCTCTGGCATCTGATATGGGCTTTCTCTGTGAATTCAGATATACATACTGCCTTCTGCTCTTAAGAGGAGTTCTCAGACTGCTGCATACTTGCGAGATAAATCTACCCCTGCTTGCTCTTCTTCACCCATTCAGCCTGGAGGGGAGCCATGGACTCACTTCTGGAGCCATCCAGTCAGGTGGAGCCTGGACAGTGGGAACTGCAACCTTCCTTAATAGAGGTGGAAGCCAACAACCCATATTCTCTGGAGAGTGCCTGGCCCTTCCCTGAAAGCCAGCTCAATGTGGTTCATCACAGGGAAGCAGCTTGCCCCAGAGGTGGCTGCTGCTGGGGTGATCTCTAGTTACTGCAAAATGGAGGCTGTTGCTGTCACTTTATTTTAGACTTACAAATTCAGGATGCCAAAGGCCATTTCTTCCCAGCTCTTGGCCTGAATATAGGGAAAACTGTGCCAAGTCAAGGGCTGTGTGAAGTTTTATTACTTAGTTAACCTGTATTGCTCATAGTGAACAGAATCCAGCTTCATTGCAGTTTGCTGAAAATTAAGCATGGAGACTAACTATATTTAATAAGCAATGCATCCTTGTACAAACTTGACCCGAGTCACATTTGGGTTCTGAAGCCGTTTTTGTATTCATGCCCTCTTGTCCCACTGTCACTCCGCCCACTGTGTGCCCCTCCTGCTGAGGACTCTGGAGTCTTACTTTGTTTTCAGAGACCCTAGCTCAGAAAGGCTATGGCTATAACAGTGACGTTTCCATGGGAACTAGGGCAGGACTAAACCCTCTACTTGAATTTCATATCCCTCTCACCAGCTTTATGGCCTGCTCAGCCATTTGAGCACCTCGTGGGGTGATAAAGACTGTTTGCTTACTATTGGGCACTTATGAGCTCCTGACTGTCATTCTTCAACAGGCACAATCACCTCTACTTCCTGCATCCCTACTTCCATCTGAGACACCTTCTTTTGGGGGCTCATGGTACCCCTTTCCTTTAGGCTTTAAGTGACTACTACCTAAAATTCTAGGCAGAACGGTTTCCCTCTCCCCAGGGGTCTCCATCGTCTTGTGTCCTCAAGGCCAACTTGACAACTTAAACTATGGTCAGGGGCCCAGAGCCGTGGAATGATGTTCGGTTTCCAAATTAATCATGATACTCTGCCTACCACAGGACTCATCTGAGCCCTGGCATGGCCAGATTGCTGCCACATAGGTCAGTGGGAGCTTATGAGAACAGCATCCAGCTTTGACCCCACTCATCCAGTCAGTCTAAACATACTATGCAGGGTGATTTGCCTGACTACCTCACCTTTTACTTGGCAAGAGAGGACAAGAGAAACTCTTTGATTGTCTGTCATTAAGATCCTTGTCCTAAAAGAGCATACTTTCTGGGACATTTTGAGCGAGCAAGGGTGCTTTCTAGCTAAGGACAGAGAGGTCATTACATGCTGTAGATGAGCCTTCCCCAGGGCCTGCCAGGTGGGCCTTTGTCCTTCAGGGTCTGTCTCTCTCCAGGGATCCTCTGTCTTGAACCTGGCACAGTAGCCACTAGGAACACCTCACTTTCAAAGGGACAAAGGGATGAACATTTCTGTCCTTCCATCATGTTAAATATTAATTGCCATTCCCATGGCCCCCATCAAGTATGATAAAAAAAAATAGTGTGATATAAAAGTGAATTTCCTGTTCTCAGCCTGAGGGACCTGGGAAGAAGGAAGATGGTGGCCTGGAAGCCACTTGTTTTCCGCAGCAGCTAGGTATGTGCTTGGCTCTGCCACCAACACTGCCTCCCAGAGCCCCAGGAGCTCCACTTCCTCTCAGTGATTCACTCAGCTAAGCTGGTTCCTCAATAGAGCCAGGGTGAAGCAAAGCTAGTGAGTTTATTAAGTATTTAGGTAGAGAGACTTAGGGAAAGGATGATGTATACTCAGGACAGGGAGGACGGCTCAAGAAAGTCGCAGTTGACTACATATAAGTTCGTATGAATTAAAGGTTGTAACTGGTGGCACACACCTTTAATCCCAGCACTCGGGAGGCAGAGGCAGGCAAATCCCTGTGAGTTCAAGACCAGCCTGGTCTACAGAACGAGTTCCAGGACAGGCTTCAAAGCTACACACAGAAACTCTGTCTCAAAAAACAAAAGCAAAACAACAACAAAGATTAAGCAAAGTTTAAAATTTAAGTAAAGTTTCAAAAACAAGTGAAAATACATGGGTAGGTTTACTTATTCTCTTACATTAAAGATTTTCTGTTTGTAAATGAAATTGTGAGGGTTTTTATGAGGTACATAGTTTAGATTTAGAAATGAGAGAGGTATGTATTAAAAGGTAAAACTCAAAAGTTTCATACATTCTGGCCCTAAATGGACCTAATTCATTTGTTTTTAACACCCGTGTTTAAGATATCCTTAGAAAAACATGATTAATTTCTGTGGGCAATTTTGACTTCGTTGATTGTATTGAACTTTGCTGATGCTCAGTCAGTAGGAAAGGCAAATTAGACTTTGGAGTAAGAAGCGCCTGTCTCTTCTCATGCCCTCTTAATTATGCACCCTGTATTTCTAGCCTGCCACAGAATTGCTGTTGGCATTCTGTAAGGAAAGCCCGATATGTGACTTTAAGGAGACAGGTCTTCTTCAGGTCTTCGTGAGTCTACTGGTGGGGTACAGTGGTGTCTTCCAGCTTAGCCTTTGCCCTGCAGGTCAGCTATGAGGGTAACTCAGCAGTGCTGCTTCTCAAGTTTTCTTGGGATTCTTAAGAATTCTCAAGATTTCTAAGAATCTGGAGAGCTTATATGAATAGAATTATTCTAGATACCATCCCAGAGCTATTGTGCCCTCTGGGGGAAGAGGTCCCTGACCCATGGAAATCTCCATCCCCTACCCCTAACCCAGAGACTCTTGAGAAACCCTGTTCTAGCCAAGATCAGGCCTCTTCCAAGGTACCACCTTTCAGGTGCTCATGCCCAGAAGAACACAGTGGCAGGGGACCCTGTTTACTTGTGTTACTTCACTAAAAAAGTTCTTACCAGGTCA